TTTTATTATTTTTTTCAAAATTGAATTGAGTTAAAATTGAGTCGAGTCAAATCGAGTCAAGTTTATTGAAAGATTTTATAAAATAAATTTGACTTGACTTAACTCGAAAAAAGAGAGTCGAATAGAGTTGATCTCTAAACTCGACCTGACTCAACTCATTTGGAACTCTAGTAGTGATAAAATAAATGCTTTTATGTATTCTTCACACTTGTTTTCTACTAATACAGTTTTCCACTCCTCTTTGATCTGTAGATAAAATAATAGCCTGAAATTAGTGTGAATGAATATATCTATTACACTAAGGGTTTAAGGATCTAGAGATAGTTGCAAAATGAAAAAAATCTCAGATCTTTGTTAAAAATTCACTACCAATCACGAATTAAGATTTTATCCCTAAATGCTCTACATTAGTATATGTACAATCAAACTATCAGCATAAATAATCCTTATTAATTTATCCATTATTACTCTACTATTCATATACGAAGAGTTAATCAATGCAAGCTTTTTATTTGCAATACATCAAATAAATTATAAGCTAGCAACTTTACTTATAATATAGTTAAAAAACGCTAGTTTTAAAGGAACCTGCTTCATGCATGATAGACTATCCTATTCATTGCATCTATTCTATCCACCATTTAATAACCTGCTATATTCATTATTTTTTATTCTAACTTTCATTTTATTAGTCGTAATGCTAATGATAATCTTGAAAAGAAACTATATGTTAATTATAAGCTCTGAAAACGCTATTTTGCAAATGCTTAGCTTAAATTGAAAGTAAACCTACTTTTAATTGCATAATATTTCATCTGATACTTTGCTAAGTAACTTTTATTTTACTAGCACTTTCTTACACTAAAATACGCAATGAGTGTGCCTATTATTTTGCTTATTTATATAGTTGTAATATTTGTATTTATAGGTTATGAAATTTCGTTTACTTCAGGAAAGGAAAAATTTTTTTTAGAAATAATGTGAATATATATATGCTAATTTTACGTCACATAACCCTATTCTTTTACCAAATCTCTTTTACGCATTTCAGGTGATCAATATTACATCATGCTACAATTGCAAATTTGAATCTATTGCTTAAAATGAAACAAGTAAGACAATATTCTGTTCCATACTATTCGTCATGTAATCCATAATTCCCATATTTTCTATTGCAAATAGGATATGATAAACTTCACAACTGAGGTGATGCAAAATTATAATTATCAATTTCTTTAAAATTATTTTAGAATTTTAGGTATGTAAAATGCTTTAAAATAGATTTGATAATTAATTTTGGATTAGATTTGACATCAAAGATGATAGGCTTGAAATCAGAGGCTTAAAGTTTTACTGACATTGTCATAACTTTTGATAATTATCATGATTTATTTCCAGTTTCTTTTTTATATCTTTTATATAAATTAAAATGAATCTTATCTATCAAAATGCTTAATAATCCACTTAATTTGATATATCAATCTAAATATTTAGGATTAATACTTTATTGGACTTAATCATTTTCTTTTTTATATGACTGCAAATAATTTAAATTGCAGTAGGTAATAGTTGATATAAATTATTTCTAAAAAATATCACAATGAAACATAAGCAAATATAGGGAATGCATCTAATTAAAATAACCAGACTATTTAGTTATTTCAGTTTCACGCTATTCACATTTAATAAAGTAAGATTTTAGCTTTATACCTACTTTTTATTTCTTTATCATCATGACCTAATTTGCATAATAAGCAGATGGTTTCTCTCGAGACTTCGCATGATGACTCATCAGTAATCCCATAATAATCAAAATTTTTACTACTACATTCTCTATATAAATTAAGATATTGATCCAATATCTTGTTAGAAAAATAGGATCAGTTATAAATTGGCTTAGATTGGGTTACAGATAATATATTTGCTGATGTACTTACTTTAGCTTTTGAAAAAATATATGCATTAGTTGAATTAATTTTTGAAGTTACATGATTTTGATTGTGAAGAATCTTCATAGTTTCATTATGTGAACTTATCGCTGAATTCACATGATCTAATATTTTGTATTTGTGAGTAATTAAGGTTCGAAATAGCATCTGCGTTATAAGAGATCTGTTTAATTTTCTCTATTTCTAATGTATTAAATAATTTATATAATTTTCTAGCTTTAAGGATTTTTTGACATAAATTTATATCTGTTATATCAGGTAAAAGCTGCTTGATTTCTTAATATACTATAAATGTTACAGATTTTTTCTTAACTTCACTAGTAATAACAGTATTAATCCTTTTGTTATATTTTTTTATAAAGTAATACCAGTATAAAATTGCTTTTTGACCAAGCTTATTAGCTTTCCTGAACATGTAAACTATATTTTGTGTAATATCTGAATATAGATCCTATTCTTCTGAAGTTTGATCTGACGTAAATATATGTATAAGTAATAATAACTGTTGCTTTAACTTTTATTTCACAATTATATTTTTATCCAACTTGACAATAACTTAATCATGCTAATCAGATTTAAGTTCCTTCATATTACATGACTTTGATCATGAAGAATCTTCACAGTTTTCAAAATTACATGCTAATTTGATTGCATTAACTTATGATTGCTTTAATAAAACGCAAGATGCTCTTAAGACTAATCTCATAAGATTGTGATAAATCTTGCTCATCTTACTCTGAAGTTAATATGTTCATTATCTCAGAAATTTTAGTTATCTCCTGAGAAATTACAAGTAACTTTTGATCTTTCTGCTTTTTTTTCTACCTTCTCTCTTTAATCTTATTGCTAATGCTTTGCTTATACATCTCATCCAAGAAATCGATCATTTCCTCATCGTTACCATCAAGGTCATTAAATGCTTGTCCTACTTCATTGTTGAGCTGGTCTATTACAGAATTGGGTTCATCAACAGTTGGCATCATCACCACTGGCATCACTTCTTCACCATTTTGTATCTGACCAAATGATGATGCCATCCCATTCACTGCTGAACCCTGTTCTAATAATGCAAGTCTAGCCTCAAGATCTCCAACTCTAGACTTGAGGTCTGCATTCTCAGCATCACACCTTGCATTCTCTTCAATAATTTGCTTCAGCCTCGCATTCTCAGCCTCAACCTTAGCAAATCTTAGTAACTTCTCTTTAAGTTCAGGAATCTCAGCATTCTCTTTCCTAAGTTCGGCAATCTCAGTTAAGAACTTAGCATTTAATTCTCTTAATGAATCAGTGGATTGCATGTTTGATGATAATTTTTTATATGAGATGGGATAATTCAAAAGTTCGTTAGTATAGATAAAACAAACGAGGTAATATCCTCATTGGAATTACTGATTTATTGATGTAAAAAAAATAAATTACAAGATTCGGTAATACATAAACTTGTTTTACAAAGTGACTATCTATATTAACATAATATTATCGACTTCATGATCTGTCCCAATCACCGTTACAAGCAATTCCAGAAATTAAAGTTCCGCTGAGAATTTATCTGTGATTGTTAAAAAATCCTTTGATAATTGATTTCACATTATTAATAACAATGATTCGTAAGTCGCATTATTAAATACCCCTGGATAAATACTCATTATCACTTTTGTTTTGTAACATAAAGGCTTCTCTTCTAATTTCTCAAAATAATTCCAAAACTATGTTTTTGCAAAAAGCTGTCCAAAAAATTAATTTATTCTTATCGCTATTATTGCCTATTGAATGGTTTGCCTGGTTCACCTATTTTGTGATCCTTCCAATGACTTCTTTATTCGGCTGGCTGGTCTGTCTTCTCACACCTTTCAACTTTTTTTAATCTCTATTGTCTTTTCTAAATGTTTTCATTTCCACCATTGTCATTTCCTTAGGCTCTACCATTCGTCACCCTTGCTTTTATTGTTGCTAACGTTTTTGGTGTTGTTCAATTATTATTAAGAGGTGAGCATTGCAATATCAAAAAATTAGATGCACGTGAGATAAATGATAATCTAATTTTATTTAATAGCAATGACGAACAATTTTAAACAAACACCTACGGACGGAACTTCGGGTGATGATAACATAAACGAGTATGTAATGTGTAATTTTATCCAAGCCATTTGTAATTAACCTTTTTCACATTATTTCTAGAATGTTCGTTTCTACCCGAGAGGCTCTTATGACCATTCTTCCACAAGCCTCCGAAGAAGATATTGGAAAGTACGAAAAACAAATTAGTAAAGTGGATATTTTGGATCCTGTCCTTATGATTGTGCCAAATCAAAACTGGATCAACCAACACACATACGTGGTTTATCAACAGGTGATGGACGCATTTGCAACCGTTAATCTCCCGCAAAATAGACGTAGAGACGAGAATTCACGCAGTATATTCCATTTCCCAAATTTAAACGACCTTTACACCGTACGCGATGCCGTTTGCAGACTTCATCCCAATGCATTCTTCGACCCTAATGCACAACCCCAACAAGAACCAATTGGCAGTGCATGGATACTTACTAATGTGGCAGTTCGCAAAAGTGATTTTGCGGAGGATAATAGGTTTTTTCGTTCTTAGATGATTAACTTTAATGAGTAACTTTTCCTAAGTTCACTATTCACTTTTTCTTAGAGTTTTATTATTGTCATAATGTAAAAATGCATACAAAGTTGAAATGAAGCAAAGATAATTCGAATAAATTCATGGTTATCAGTTTTATTATTCCGATGCAATTACATACCACACGAAAAAAATGCATACACATGTTAAAAAATCCTTTTTCCTTAGCGAAATCACATGTGCCTCCGTTCCAATTTGGAACGCAAATCGCTTTTGCCAAGAAAAATTTTTTATTAATACATGCAAGAAATAAATACAAGATCGGGACTTAACCCGTGATACATGACGACTATGCTAGTGACTATACAATTATTTTTTCTTGATTATTTCTTCTACACGGCGCTTCTTAGTTGCCGGTTCCTCACTACCTACTACCCTGTCCTTTAACAAACCCCAAGATCCTCTTCACATTCTTACGTAATTCAGCTGAATCCTCGAGAGCGTCTTCTGTTAGTGAAATTCGATATTCAGTCCTGCTCGTACAGTAAATGCCCTCGGTACTATGAAGAATGAAGTACCAGTCCGTTCCTATACTAACTATACCATAGACATAGTCGTAGTCGTAATCGGGATCGAACGCTTCATCAACCTTTCGTTTTTTCTTGATTATATCTAAATTCATCTGGAATAACGAAATTAGTAACTACCCGCGATCAGCCTGTAACGAAAAATGCTTATACATACCCACAGTCGCCTGATTTAGTTTGCCCTCGGTTATGCAAATTATTTCTTCGAGCAAATCGTCCAGGATCTTCTTGATGGCGTAGTCGACACGGCCAGTATTTTCTTCTCCAGTTATATTCATCTGAGGCGTGATTACCAAACCTTCGAGAAGTCTTACTGCCGTGTGCAGATAGTAGAAAAATACTCACAACGTTACTATCTACGACAGGCCCCATGTTTCTTATCCTGCGAAGAATATCGTCAATACAGAGCTTAAATTCGGAGGAGTCTTCATCAATAGGATGGGTGACTGGCTTAAACTGAGGAATGCGAGTTATATCCTCACTCACGATCCCATATTTGCGCAACACCTCCTTCAACTCTTTCTTAGTCTTGTACGAGGAGAACGACCTCAACTTTTTCTCCTTAAGCTCCTTAGCGAACTTCACGAGTCTCATAGCAGGTCCTCTTGCTAAACCATCTTGCATATACTTTTCTTCGGTCATTTCAAAAAGCCCTGGTTTTTAATCTTTTCCTTGCGAAGTATTTTCTCATCGTCCTCGTCAAGTCCTAAGTCTCGTCCCCGAAAAAAAGAGATAAGCCCTTCAGTATCATATTTTTTAACCTCGTCCGCCAACGTGAGCGTCTCATTTCCAGCAACAGAGGTAGAGGTGGAAGCTGGAGTATAAGGTGTATTAGTTTCAGACAGCGCTTTTCTATAGTTATTAGGCTCGGATAAAAAAAGTGTGTTACGCTCCGGAGTGAGATAAAGTTTTATTTCTATGAAAGGGTTGGATGTTAATATATATTTTTATGTCGCACAGGCATTGCATCATTACACGCGACCCGCTCTCTCATGTACAGTACATTCGATAAAATAATATTCTTTATTTATGAAATAAAAAAAAAAACCATTGCCGGAAGCCGGCTCACAATACATAAAAATTGCGACTATATCGCTTTACATGATGTTTAAATGAATACAAAAATATGATTTCTATCATTAGGGGATTGTTGGGAAAAATAGTTAGAAATCAACTCATATGGAGGCAGTCCTATTTCATTTTGACGTTTCCCAAGAGAATATTCTTCAATTTGTTTATCAATTGATGTATCTTCCCCAGTATCATTGATCTTCCAGAGTAAAAAGATGGTAGGAGGAACCTTCTCAAATAAGCATGGCCACCTTTTCCTAATCATAATCCTTAACTGATCAAGTGTTTCGTCAGTAGAGATTTTAAGCGTAGTAATACTTCCTTCTGATAAATTTGATTTTAAAGTTGTGTTGCAAAATACAAGAAGACAATTGAGAGTAATAATAGTATCAGACATCTTGCTTTCCTAAATATAAGACCTATAGTAAGAAAAAACTCGCTTTCATATATACACAACTTCTGGTATATACATACCTTAATTTTTTGCAAAAAGGTTAGCTGAACTTCCACATACCATTACATGCTTTATATCCCTTTTTTCTCATTAGATTCGAAAAAAGATTAGCCTTATTGGTTTGACTATTCTCCCAAGAAAATCTATTTTTGAGGGAGGGTGGAATCCTTATACCTTTTTACATGTAGATTTACCCTGCAAGAGATATAGTTAGCTTTACGTTTAGCAATCTCGAAATTGCGAGTCCTTAAGTCTTTTATAACATATGCTTTTATCAGCACTATTTGCTTTTAAAGTAATTCCTGTGTTGCATGTAGACACTCTTTCACATTTGTTTGAGAAAAAAATAATGAACAAAAGTTAATATATTTTCTTTTTCGAATATATGTGAAAATTATTATGTTATATCATACAGTCCTATCTGATAATTCACTTATTTTTATCACATAAACTGTGAATCAGCAAATTCTTCTGAACTGGCGATCACTACTCTGAGTTAATGAGCATCATTCTGGACTCTAAATTAAATGTATGCTAACCAGAGGTAAACACAATTATGATAAGCAATACTAATATTAGTTCTGATAAAAGCGAAGCTCAATTATATGAAATGCTTTTTTATAAGAAGAAAGATATAATAGCTATTTAGAAAAAATTCAGTATAGATCCAGATCAGAGAAAGGGATCTATTGAGAATAGAAATCAAATAGCATTAAATCAAAGCAAAAAAGAAAATACAATTGGAAATCTTATTACCTCATTTTTCATTACAGGAATCTGATTTTTAAAAGTAATTTTTTATTAACGAGAAATAATGATGATATAATTTATTCTTTTACCCATGAAGATTTCATTAAATTTGCAAATTTCTTCAACCTTACAATATGCTTATCAATTTTATAGATTTCACTTCCTTGAATTATGAATAACTTATTGATGTTTTTATCAATACTATCAGTAAAAATAATTTGAATATGATTAAGAGATTAATTTTCATGAATAATAATGAAATCTTGGTAAAATATTTAGAATTGCTTAACATTAAACGAGCTGCTAAACTTTTAATTATTTTATCTAACATGTATAATGATATATAGAATCTATTGAATTATGTGATTTCAAACTGTTATTAAGAGGGAATCGAAGTGTTGTAGTAAAGGTCTAACTGTTATTTTAGCAAAGAACAAATTTAATAAGCATATTTATGGAGCTTATAATATGACTATGAGATTATCCTTATTATTATGATAAAGTAGATATAATTTGGACAAAAAAATTAAATGAAAAAGCTTTATCTTTTAATATCATGATTTTAAATTCAAAAAATCACTTTCAATTGTGTTGCCTCATAGACTAAAGATTATAATATACTAAATATTAATTTTAGGATAGGTTTTAATTTGCCATATTATAAAAAATGTTGAAAAATGAATAATCATTATGAAATAAATGAAATCAAAAATTTTTAACTTATTAGAAGAAGGAACTTTTGATGACAACTTTTTTACATGATATTTATTTATAAAATAAAAACTTGTCTTTGTATTCTTTGTATCTTTTAAGAACATTTTAAAAGTAAATAGTTTATATATGTTTTTAACGAATACGTATAATAGTCTATTTTTGAAGTATATTAAAATTCTGTATTAAGTTTGTAATGCAGTGGTGACATGTGATGAATAGGATTTAAACCACTCAAAAAAAACTAAGTTGCTGAGATAAATATAAAAAATGCGTCATAATAATTACATAATCAAGTGATAGTTCAGTTAACCATCACATCCATAGCACCAGCCACATCTAATTATAAACTATGATATTAATTTCTGACATGCATTTTTAGATATGAGATCTAAATATTAAATCATTTACGTATTTTTACGTGTTTAAATATAATAAGAAATTTTAATTGGTCAATAAAAAATATATTGTCTGATAATAATACTATATTTTTGTTATTATTTAATTTTTAAATCAATGTATAATTTAGCATTTTTCCTAGTATTACAACCAAGATTTTCACCTTACGCAATCATAAAAATATTTGTTATACTGTATCATACCCTCTGCTTTTCTTTTTTAAGATATAAAATCATATTTGTCAAATAATTCAGCATATAGTTAATTTTTTAATACTGTAATACTGGCTAAATGTCATGTGGAGGTAAAAAACTTAGTGGTAATACTGGGGTAGTTTAAATTTAGCAGTACGATTATATACACATATATATGACTGAAAATTTTTCGCATATATCATTCTTCTAAAGAATGAACTATTGAAAAATTTTTTTTTATATATATAAATGAACATACTAAAAAATTTTTTGCACACAGTATATGAATATAATTTATAATAATTTTTGCACACACTATTAATATTTTCCGCATCCTAATATAAATTTAAAAATTATACACTTTTTTTCAAGAATTAAGAATTTGACATAATTATTTTATTATACCCATTAATGCTTTATTCACTTTATTCACTTAATTTGCTTAGTGTATATTAATTATCATTTAAATCATTTGCTTTATTAGAATAAGAATATTTCATTTCATGTAATCGATAGTAATATATGTCATAATCAGTAATATTATTTTTCATATTATATGACATCTGCGTTATAAATAAAACTGTACTATTAATTTCAGTCAGTGTGTAAAAACCTGCTTTTGTTATATATGAATTCAAATTATTTAAGCTTTAAATAATCATTTCTTAAAGGTATTATACGTTTCAGTTAATACAAAAAATTAAACAAAAAAGTCACATAAAGGTGTATACCTTAAATAAAAGGAACTTTAATGCATATTGACATAATAATACTACATTATTATGATTCATTAGTAATTAAAATCGCTGAACCTCTCTATATAATATAACCCTTTATATGACACTAATATTTCATAAACAAATGCAGTATAATATATAGCTATTGAATTAATAACAAAACATTATAGAAACACAAGGAAAGAAATAAAAGACTATTATCCATATTGAAAATACTTACTGTAAATTTATAAACTATATAACATTAGTAAGCTTAAACTCTTTCTAATATCTCTATATATTCGTACTATTTTATTTAACATTACTTTTAATATTTTTTAATTTTAAGCTTATCTTCAAAAAAAATGTGAATGTTAGCATTAGTTAGGTAGACCACTAACTTTTCTAATAGTAAATTCAAGCTTTGACAATATTGTCTAAATAATATTAATCTTTCGTTTACTACTGCGATTCTTCTCATCATTTTTGGTTAGATCATAATCTTTTGCTAATACAAATAAGGATATCTCACCACTATAATAGATTAAATTTTTTTTAAAATAAAATAAGCAATCTTAGAATGCATACTGTTTATCATTTATAAAAAAACCTTCATATTCTCACGTAAATTTTAAAATAAGTCTTGCATAATTAGTGTAAAAAGATTTTTTAGTACATTCTTTTAGATAAATTCTCATTAAGAAGATCATTTCTGCACTCAAAAGAATTAGCACTAATAAAAAATTAAAGTTAATTATAAAAATATATTACATAATCTAGTGAAATTTAATAGTAGTAATTTACAGTTTATATGCAAAGTTCTACGTAAATTTTTTTCTATCATTATTTCTTGTTGACAAAAAATTATTTTTTACAGTCTTTTAAATATTAGGTTCCTATAATGAAATACATATCAATAAGACATTTCTGAAGTCTACTTAAGTCTAATTAATAATAATTTCTCAAATATAAAATACCTTGATTATTTTCACAATTAATTTTTTGATGTTACTATTATCAATATCAAGTATTGGCAATCCATATTTTATAATTTTTTCAAATTTATCTTTTGATCATTTTTTAATAAAATCACTATTGGTACTGGGTATAATATCAATTATATTGTAATATGTGAGATTATTATTTCTAAATTATTTAAATACATATATTACTTGTCAAATACATCTCACAAAAAAATAATAACTTACCGTATTCTCCCGATTTTAAGCACCACATTTTTGAAGGGAAAATCGGATCAAATCTTTGGGTGGTGCTTAAAAT